TGAACTGCAGTCCTGCTCCAGAACCTGAGTGTTGCGTGTGCATCAGTTTTACAGATCTCATTCTCTTGAATACAGACTGTTGGTTCCTTGCCTCTCCGGCAGATGCACTCCGACTTCAAAGGAAGCTTCCCAATTAGTCGACTCTTACGACATGCTTTTGGGGAGGCAGTGGGTCTATTCTTGTTTTCCCCACAATGGGGCCCCGGAACCCACACGGGGGGATTAAAAAGTGATGTAGAAATGAATACCAATGCAACTAGACCTGGACGCCCAATTTCTGTTTGTGATTGAACTCGTTGCAAACGTCACAGAACGGATACAAGAAGATCTTTATTTTACTGTCTGGATGATGGCAGATGAATCTTGTGTTAATAGAGACACCCTTCGTAAAATTTTAGTAAAAGATTTTGGCCCCAAAAAATAATGTTTTGCAGGTCTGTACCACATTCGTTGTCAGATGACCAAAAACATCAGCGGGTTGAGTACCCATAAGACATCATCAAAACAGGAATTTTTGGCCCCAAAACAAGTGTGTGTTCTCAACCATCCACCCTATTCCTCAGATTTGTCTCCATGTGATTATTTTCTATTCCCAAAATTAAAGTTACCATTGAAAGGATGCTTCTTTGACAAAATTTATGGCATCAAAATGGCCGTAACATTGACTTTAAGGGCCACAGCAACAAAAGCACTACATAGGTCGTTCCAGTGTTTGTTAGATCGTGCTACTCACTGTATCAATGTACAAGGGGCTTACTTTGAATAAAATACAGGTCATATCTTCAACTGTTGATTTTTAAAATTTTTATGGAATTAGTCTCATTACTTAATTGTTGGACCTTGTAATATTAATTAATTTCATTGGTATACCAAAGCATTCCTAAAATCCCCATAGTGATGTTGTATGTTGAGATGTTGCTTTCTTAAAGTCAATGAAATTCAAAATAAAGAGTTGATTTTCATTAAATTCCTCAAAAATAAGTCTTAAAGAGAATATTTGATCTAAGCAGTTAATCCAGGTGGAAAAACCGGCTGGCTCCTCTCGCAGGGTTTTGTCTGTCCTAGGTACATTTAATTATTTTAAGAATTTGTTACAAAAAGTTATTGACATTACTGATAACAGAGTAATTCCTCTCCACATGTTACTGTCAGTAACTATGATTAGTAGATAAATAATCATACTGTCGTAATTGTAACAGACTCACAGAGCATGCTGAGAAAGACGGACAGATCTGCTCCGTGTGGAGTGGCGAGCATTGCTTCAGAGGTCCTGGGTAGTTAGTGTCCCTTGCATATTTTCTCCAGGTTATGCCGGTATGTTCGGAAACAGACAGACAGAATGGTTGGTTCTACATCAATTGGTGTTGAAATGATGTATGACAAGCTAGCTGTTACAAGGGTCCTTTGGGAAAGTGAACAATGCATGGGCACAAACAGATCATTACAGTCTGAGGAGAATGGCATTGCAAGGAGTTATCAGGGGATTGACCAACGCTTAACACTTAAGGAAAAGGCAAGACAGAGACAGATATACAATCTATATACAATCAGACAGTTACTGGTGTCATCATACATGGAACTCTTTGCTTGCTGCTGAAGATGTGGACAGAGCACTTATGGGAGTGTCCCAAAAGCTGTGATGTCTATTCTTATTTCAACATTTAACCTGCAATCTCCACAAGTAAGAAACAGTTTGTGTGCTGAGACCCTTCCATGCCATGATAAAAGTGTTTCAAGAATCTTCTTGTGTTGTTCTCCTCTATTTCTCTATCCAGTCACCACAATGTGCTCTAGTTTCTTTCTTATCAAAAGTAAAGGACCCTTTTCTAAGCCATCAAGCGTCTGGTAGTTTTAGTTTCAGCTTCATAGCAAACGGGTCACTCCATCTTTGCTCCGCTCCTGTGCCAATGAAAGACACAGAGAATGTTTATCACAGTCCGTTGCGGAAAGTTGGACAGACTGCTGTCTCAGCATATCTAGCATACACTCGCATTAAAGCATACGGTAGCCATCCGAAGTGCCAACACAAACAGTCCGGCGTTAGAAATGCGGTTCATCATTGTTGGTAGCAGAAATCACCAACAGATCTGCCCACACGATCAATTTTAATCAAACGTATTGGGCACAGGGTTAGACCTATATTTTACAGACCAACCGGCACTTGGTGGGCAATTTAAAAAAAAAATCACAATGTGGCCTAAAAGTCATGACTGTCTCATTTGTGATAACTATCAGCAAGTTCAAACACTTTCTTCCCCGCCTAGGTTCCGGGGCCCCATTGTCGGGAAAACAAAAATAGACCAGCTGCCTCCCAGACAAGCATGTCACAGAAATCAACAAATTTGGGACTCTTTTCAAAGTCAGAGTGCATCTGCCCGAGCGGCAAGGAACAACAAACTGCACACAAATAAGACAGTAAAATGGATGTACACGCAAAACTAAGGTCCAGGCACAATGTCCAAATGGACAAACAACCAGGATTTTCCACTGGAGCTTACAGCTTGTGAACAAAAAAAAAAAAAGAAGAAGAAGATGCTTTCCATGACACAGGGCACTAAAAATAACAAACAAAAAGTCATGAACTGATTATTTTCATTCAAATTTTAAACCAACACAGAAGTCACCAACAGATACTGTTTCCTTCATTGTAACAGAATGAGGAAATGTTTGCAGCATTTGTATGATCACAAAGGAACACCTTTTGATGAAATTAAAAAAACAAAAGACTAAAAATGTGTATTAGTGCCAAATGTACCATTTTGTCCATAGCCAAAACATCCACTTGGTACTCAGGAAAACAAGAAAATAAATTCAAGAAAAACACGTGACAATAAACAAAAGTATAAAAAATTTTTTTTAGAGATACTGTCAGGTCTTCTTCACCCTTAAGTTGGTATGTTGTGTTTACAGCTAGGCTGTAATATCTGCACTTTATGACCCACCACGTCCAATTTAAGAAAATCCCGAAGTAGTCGCCTTTTACAACACGATTGTTAGGAGGCAGTATGTCTATTCTACCCTTCTGCGACCCGCTGGACCCAGAATTCAAACTGTATACATTTCACGAAAAGTCAACCTGTGAACACCTCTAAATGATTTAACCCCACCCAGTCAGGTCTCTCTGGTCGACGCAGCTAGAAAAACAAGAAGCACAACCTTATATCTCCCTCAACATCTGAAGCGGTAAAAGAGGAACTGAAGAATAGGAAGTCAGGACAGTAAGATACTTGTTTGTCATGACTGGGTGCCATAGTATCAACTGTTTTATATGCATAAAAGAGATGAGATTTGTTGCTGTTAGATTTAGCATCCTAAAAGTGGTTCTGAGTCACTGGATGTCAGATCTTCAATCCAGAGAAGAAAACACAGGAGATACTTGCACATTTTTTCACTTCTAGAGGGTTTATGCTCAGAGACAGAGAGTAGACATGTGCTGCATTTAAACAGCTTTATGCAAGAAGCCAAAAAAGTATAATAAAATGAACACAGAACTTTATGAAACTGCTAAATGAAGTAAAATGTTTTGGGTCAAAAGGAAGAAACAATCTCTGTTGAGACTGGGAGGCAGAAACAAAAGATTTAAATTATTTACTATTTAATTTCCACATTTTGATATGGTACAGGGTTTTATAGTGAAGACCTCTGATCAATGAAATACTGTCATAAAGACTGCATTTAATGGTTGCTTTGGAAAACAAGAAAAATAGTGGCCATACTGGATTTTTAGGAATGGTTTACAGCCATTATTTTTTTTTTAATGTACAGGCTGAATTTTGTTGTATGTAGGGTACAATCATAGGCTCTTTACATACTGACAGAAGATGTTTTAAACTTTCACATGCTATTTTTTCTTCCTATCTAATTAAAACATTTTAATAATTTTTTTACTGATAATTTTTGTGGTTTTCCGACTTCGCACAAAAACTAAATGTTAGTTTCTCAAATGCATTTGCCAGTATGTAAGTAATACAATGATGAATAAGTGTATACAAAGTTTTATTATAATCCGAAAAACAGCTTTGAGACACAATGTTCCCGAGAAAAAAAGGAAACTGTGAAATAATAATATTTTCATGTTTTATTATACTAACACAGTTACCTTAATCCTTACAAAAGTTATTTTACTTAGAAAAAAAAAGTTTTAACAGTATATTTTCATTAGAACAATTCTGCTCCATATGCAGTACCCCCCTCAAGTCTTCCAGTTCTTCTTGTCTCTTTAGTCCAGCCGCTCATACACTGTCAAGTCCCTTAGTTTGCTTGCCCTTCTGATATTCTATGCTATTTTTAACTCTCAATATAATAAATTAATTTTGCTGTGACCCTTCATGTCTTGTAATGAAGACCTTGCAGATTCATATTTTCACACACATTATTGAATGCTTTTGCACTCATTACACAAACTAATGCAGAATAAACGAACTAGCTGTTAATGGCCAGAGATCAATCCCCATCATTACTTCTTGTAGCTAGGTACCTTCCACAAACTACTTCTTCACAACCAGAGCAATAAACTTCTGTATGCACAGCTAATCCTTAGGTTTTCTTGCTGTCAGTTCTCAAAATAAGACTAGTATTTTTTACACACTGGACAACAAAACAACACTTGATATTTTATTTGGATTGTATCAATCAGAGTGATATTTAAGGAAGCTAACATGAAATGCAAATTTAATCAATCACTGCAGACAATAAATTTCTAGGTAAATACAATACCGTACATCTGTAGTTTAGCAAAATGAACAAACTGATTTAAGGAAAACAAAAGAAAGAGAACTTTACAATACTGACATATACTGTAAATTAACAACCAACTTTGAGTCACTTTAAAGATACTAATAAAGCATGCATCTAACTCGCTGGAGTCTGTAAAAGGGATGAAGATGACAGTTCTCATCAACTGTGAGCAATGCTTCAACAACATGAATACATTTCACCACAGACTAGACACAAAGTAAAGCCAATGGTGTAATTATGAACAATTACTGCAAACATTTGTCTTATTTCTTCTCCATCTGAACCGTTGTCAGGACACGTTCAGTTTTGGTGACTTTCGGTCGCTCCAAACGTTTGCGATCCTCAATTTTCGATATGACACCACTTTTGTTTGCTTTGCCACCTTAAAAGCAGGAAAGATGGTAGGCATTACTGATACGGCAGTTCCGTTCAAGAAAGTTATACAACAACAACACCATTCCAAGCACAACTTCCAAAAACTGTCAATATTTCATTATGTTTATGAATACTTTTATGATTCAATGTGGTTTTTAAGTAACATATGAATCAACTCATGTCCCAATGAGATATAACAACTTCCTTACATATATATCTACGAAGTCATTACATTAAAATACTGTGAAGCTATACTAACAGTTTAATGATGTGTCAAAATTCCATTAGAATTACACAGTGGTTATACATTTTAATACTAACTGCATTGATGAACTGCTAATTCATATTCATGTAATAAAACATGATCTCACGATACTCACTTGGATCTAGACACGAAACAAAACATACTAAGGTTAAACAATATACTGATGTATTTATTACACACTATTTATAAAAGCATATATCATTTCATGTAAGTTCTAAAATGAATTAAAAAGTGATTTTTAATGTACAGAATGAACAAAAAATATACTGATTTTAACTGACAATCATGAGACCAAGCACACACTTCATACAATTATCATAAGAGATTACATACATTGTAGAATTCAAGGCAAAACAGGCTCTGACAGCAAATGATGACGACCACAGTTCTTGTGGTATTGAATAGCTAGTGTTTAAATAGCTGAAGGATATGACAGACCCTTATTAAAGTATTTCTTAGCTCCAAATTAAATGTTACTTTTTGGCTGTCTTACCCTTTTTATCGGTGCCAAGCACACGCTGGAAGACCATGGCACTGTTTCCCATAGACCATGACTTGGTTTTGGACGATGCATTGCTGGCATTCAGGTTCATACTACTGGAAGAGCCTGCTTGCAAGGGAGCATATGGCTGTCCCGGCTGATAAACTGTGTATCCTGGTGACTGGTAAGTTTGAGCAACAGGAGCAGGCGGGGGGACATGAAGGTAAGGAGGTGGGATGTTGGAGTAGAACTGAGATGGGCTAGTGTAGGGGTACACCGGCACAGAGCTGCTGGAGTATACGTTGGTCGGGGGCTGTGGGGGACATCCAGGAGGAGGGTAGGTTGGGTTGTACACAGCACTGGTGGCCACAGGGCCAGAGCTCGGTGCTACTGGATAGCTTCCATATGGTTGCTGCCAAGACTGAGCATTACTGCTCTTGTATTTTGAATCTGACCATTGTCCAGACTTGGCTTTACCACTCTGGTCACTTGCAGTATGGGAAATTTCTGTTTTCTGTGCCTTTCTCGACTCATGACGACGATCTGGACTCTGCCTGTGATAAGAACCTGTTCTTTTATCCGAATATCGTTCTTTGTAACGTCGCTTATAGTCATCCCCATGGGAGGATCCACTTGAAGACCTGTCATACCTGCGCTTGTGACTTTTAGAGTAAACGGGGCTACGTGACTTTCTGGCATACAACTGATGTGGGCTCTTCGAACGCAGTCTGCGAGATTCTGTATGCCGAGGACTGTGAAGTGCTCTTCGCAGAGTACTACTGGACACAGAAGGGCTCCTGTGTCTCGAGTGCTGTGGACTTTTGGATCTCCTTAAAGGGGGTGATTTAGGACTCGGCGAACGATTTGACTGCCTTCGATGAGCTTGCTTGATCCCTTTAGCCAACTCCAAAAAATGCTTCACAGTTTTTACTAACTTGTCTTTTCCGGTTCCCGGCTGGGCGTATTCCAAGCTGGGAGATTTGGAAACCGGGCTTAAAGAACGAGATCGGGACGACACAGAGATTGGACTCCGTGAAGTATGGGCAGCCGGTCGCTTTGGGCTTTCTCGTCTGTATGATGGCTTACGCACTGGCGAGGGCAGCTCAGCTGAAGACATCGACATATCAGAGAGAGACCGAGATCTAGATTTCCTTGACTTTCGTTTGCGGTCACTTTCGTAAGGACCTCTGCTACCACCACGAGTGTAGTGATCCCTAGGTCTAGCAGAAGAATGTGAAGCCTCGAGTGTTGGAGGAGGTGAATGATGTGTGGTGCTGTGGGCCTGCCAGTATGCTTGCCTGCTACTATACTCAGCCGGGGGTCGAGGGTAAGATTCCTGTTTTTTGGAATCTTCATACGAGCTAGGATGCCAGGAGTCATAGCGCCTGCTGTCCCAGTGGTCACTGGGGCGATGATCACGGGAACCGGAATGTCTATGCAGATTCATCTCTCTTCTTGGTGATGGGGAACTGTTTCTGTGGCTGGAAAACAAACACCAGAAGTAAAACACAATAAATAAATAAAATAGCAAACACAAATTACAACACCAATATTTATCATCCTGGGTAATGTACATCAACAAACGAAAGTGATTTCCATCTGGGTTCCAGGACCCAATTTCAGACAAAAAAGGAATAGACCTACCACTCCCCAACAAACATGTCATAAAAGGTGACTGACTAGGAATCTGCTGAAAGTGGATCTGTTAGCCAAAAATTACATCTAGTGCAACCTAGCTGTAAACACAATACAATACACCTGCTGCCCTCTTAATGGCAAATGCAGTAGAAGATAAGACAGTGACATATAAATGTTAAATCAAGAAAAACAAATTAATAGGCTAAGCCAGCGGTTCTCAACCTGCGGGTCATGACCCTTCTTTAGGTCGACCTACCATTTTACATGGATCGCATCTCAGGTATGTGTGTATATATGTGGTTATGACAGGCTCTTGTGAATGTATTTTATTTTATTATTATTATACATAATTGTATGTTGGTATTTTTTTTTATCCATAATAATATCTCAAAATTTATTTGGGAGTTAATATAATCATACCCACTATATCTACACATTATGCGGTTGCAACCAGCTCCCAAAGCTGTTTATATGGGCCAAATGGCTACTGTCCACAGAAGTCATGTCATCAAAACCCCACAAAAGTAGGAAAACCGGCTTTCTCAGGACAACACAATTAAAGAAGAGTTGTTGGAAGGGTCGAATGTGATATGGGCCTGTGTGCCCAATTTGTGACCCTCTGAACATAAAGTTTATTCTTTAGAAGAATCCCTTAGATGATGGCAAAAGCACATTTAGCTTTTCCCTCGCACTTTGCCAGCTTGATATTCCTAGAGGCTGTCAGTAAAAGTTAACAGCATTTGTCAAGTTGCAGGTGCGATGGTGTTAAATCAACATTTTGATAGTTCAATCGGCACTTGATAGGTGACATCACAGGAGACATACTTAATTCCCAAAAGACTGTTTGGGCACTGCACTTATTCACACCAGATTGACCTGGGAGAGTCTAGATGTGTATTCTCCTTCTTGTTCATCAGCTGCAAACTCTGGCGGGTACATCTGTTTTATTATTATGCAGACTGTTGGTTCCTCACCTCTCAGGCTGATGCACACCGACTTTGAAGGAAACACCCCTAATTAGTCTAATCTTATGACATGCTTGACAAGGAGTAGTCAGCCTATTCCCCCCCCCCCACCCCAATGGAGCCCCAGAACATACATAGAGAAGATATGGATTCAAACTCAAGACCTTTGGGATGGTAGGCAAGTGTAACAGCACATAAACATACAACTAACCTTTTCTGTTTGTAATAATAAGGATCCCTCCTGTAAGAAGTGGATTCTCGAACTGGTGCTCTGTAATAAGATACCTCATCCGGAGCTGGCACAGGGTAGTAATGCATCTTGTAAGAACTTTCCTTTGGTGGATAGTATGGCTTGTACGGCTCATGAGAACTATAATAAGCACCTGTTCTGCTGGCATCAGACCACTGGTTTTCCTTCCACGGTTGTGGAGTATAAGGAGTGGTCTTATAATTTCTAGCATCCCACGATCTTCGTTCCCTGGACCTGTCAGGGGACTGCCGATAAGTTCGAGCATAGATCACTTTCTCTGTTTGCTGTTCACCTTCGTTAACATCAATGACCTCCATGGATATCTCTAAATCCCCATCAGTCATGACTAGCTTAGGATCCACATTTTTCACTTCTGCTCCATCTGACCCTTTCTTAACAATACTGTCATGCAGTTCTTCAGTCTTACTGCTAGACTGTACAACTTTCTCTTGTGTAGGAGGTATCACATTTTCAGTCACCTTTCCCGAAGCATCTGACTCCTCAACAGTTAAATCTATTTCTGTGACCTCCCACTCTGGTGATTCCTGTTTCAAAATCACAACATCATCAAAGTCATCATTTTTACTCTGATTACCGGTCTCATCATCGCTGATGTCTTCAAAGGTTTTATCCAGCTTTTCTTTATTTGCCCCTTCTTCTTCTGCATTCACATTTCTGGACTTATCTGTGGTTTCTTCATCAATCTTTCTTTCACCACCGTCTGCTGCAGCATCAGTCAAAGTCACATCTGCAATGGTATCTGATGGTGCTTCTTCAGGACCTTCACTATCCTGCCTGTCAGATTCTTGCTTACTGCTGCCATCGTCGGCAGTCTTACCTAATTGTTCAGCACCATCTGAGGGATTATCTACAGCCATTTCACCCAAATTGTCAGCAACTTCAAGCATGGCAGGCTCTGTAGTATTTTGCTTGCTAGCTTCATCACTAGCTGCTTCAAGCAATGCAATGCCACCTAGAGAACCCTCTGACCGGAGATCAACACTCCCTCCATCCAAGCATGTTGAATTTTCAGGTGAACAAGCCCTGACAGCTTCCTCTAGTCCTTGTTCTAAGCCCAACACCACAGTCACTTCATCAGATTGGATCTTTCCGCTAGTATCTTCAACATTCTCACCAAGCAACTTGTCACTTGCTGCAGTGCTGTCAGCTGTTATCTCAGTCAAGATGACTGCCGAAGCAGTCAAAATGTCCCCAGCAAATGTATCTATACTGTCTGCTGATTGACTTTCTTTAGTACTGCTGTCATTCTTTCCTTGCTCCTGAGACATGACTGAACCTTCTGACAGAGTCGCTGCTTCATGATCCTTCTGTAAAATCTGCTCCTGTTTGCTGTCTTCAATCTTATCGGAATCCTGAACCACAATCTTACCAGCTTGTAACTGTAGATCTTTTTGTTGAATTTCTTCCACAAAACTCTCATTGGCACATATTTCAAGTACTTTTCCTTTTCCATTTTGATTATCTTCAACAGGGATAGCCTTAGATTCCTCACTGCCATCTGAAAATATACAACACAACATTTTTTTCTTCCAATTACTGCTTTAGAAAAATACAAAAAATTCTGCACATTTATAAAGTCATCATCAATACCACAGCTTCATAACACTGCATGTCGCTGGGTCACCAGATACTGTGGGTTGTCTAATCAGCTCCCTCTACCACTGTCTGTCAGATCTTATCGACTTGATGTTGCAGCCTGTCCATTCAGCCATATTCTGTGTCTAGGTCTCTCTTGGTTTGCCTTTTCTCCTCTTCACAGCCCTGTAGTTTCATTTAAGAGAGGTTCTTGTAGATCTTGATACATGTCCGTGCCATTATATTTTCCTCTTTTCACTTTCAGTGTTGTTAAAAGAGGTTCTAGTTGCCAACGTGCTGAGTAAAAATACAGCAAACTTTGTCATTTGTGATGTGGTCTCTGTATGATATACCCAAAATCTTTTGAAAAGATCTTAATTTCTAATGCTTGTATTTTTCTTTCAAATTAAGATGCTATGGTCCACTTTTCTCCACTGGAAAGGTACTGGCATTAAATGTTCTTCTTCTTCTTCGCGTTCACCAGCTGTAGACTCTGGCGTAAAGTTCTGGTTGCTCGTCCACTACTGAACTGCAGTCCTGCTCCAGAAGCTGAGTGTTGCGTGTGCATCAGTTTTACAGATCTCATTCTCTTGAATACAGACTGTTGGTTCCTTGCCTCTCCGGCAGATGCACTCCGACTTCAAAGGAAGCTCCCCAATTAGTCTACTCTTACAACATGCTTTCGGGGAGGCAGTGGGTCTATTCTTGTTTTCCCCACAATGGGGCCCCGGAACCCACACGGGGGTAATTAAATGTTGAATTAAGAGTCAACACCACAGCACTCGGGACACTCCCATAAGTGCTCCATCTCCCATCTTCAGCAGCAAGCAAAGAGTTCCAATTCCGATGGCACCAGTAACTGTCTGATTATATATTCATCTCATCCTTCCCTGAGTGTTGAGTGTCAGCCAGATTCCCTGGTAACTCCTCGCAGCACCATTCCCCTCAGACCGTAATAATCTATTAGGGTCTCCGCACTGTTCACTCGCTCCAGGTACTGGCTGATAGTACTCTATGCAGATGTTTTGGTTTCACACAAGATCTTCTTGGATCATAATCCTTGAGTGGGTTCTGGGACCCACATTGAAGGGAAAACAAAGAACAGACCCACTGCCCCCTAACAAGCATGTCATAAGAGCCAACTAGCTAGGAGGTGTTTCCTTTAAAGTCAGAGTGCACCTGCCCAAGAGATGAGGAACCAACAGTCTGCATACAAATAAGCCACATCTGTAAAACGGATATGCACACACTTGATTAAGAAGTGGATGGATAACCAGAACTTTCTGCCATAGTTTACAGCTGGTGAACGCGAATAAGGTATAGACGAATGATTTTTAAATCTCCTAACACTTGTTTAGTGGTGACTGAAAATGTCTGGATCATTCTTGACAAGATTTCAGGTTCGGATCCTCAATCATTTAGAAAGAACCCTAGATATATAAAGTGGTTCACTGCTCTAGATTTATAAGTACCTTCTTCGTGTTCTTCTTTACGTTGACAGGCTCTGGTGGGAAGTTCTGGGTGTTCGTCCACCTCTGGACTTTAGTCTTGTTTCAGAACCTGAGTATTGCATGCACATCTGTTTCATACACCTGGTTTACTTGTATGCAGACTCTTTTGTTTCCTTGGCTCTCAAGCACATATACTCTGATTTCGAAGGAAGCCCCGCAGTTATTTGGACTGCTACAACATGCTTTTTTGGGAAGTAGTGGGTCTATTCTTGTTTTACCCACAATGGGGCCAGGAACGCATGCGGGGAATAAACTTAATGAGTTTAAACAGCACAAATGCCCAAGGGGGCTGCGTGCACTAACTACAGAACATGTCCAGTAAGCCTGTTCCTTGTACAACCTATCAGGGAATACTGCCTCAATGATTGACACCGTTGTAGAGAAGTAAAGAGGACTTCAAAAACCTGTCAATTTTATCACAAAAGCTCGCAGGTATTATTTTAACAACGAGTAACTTTTAATTTAAACTAAAACTAGATTCAATCATGTAATAGTAACCTGGTAGCAAGCACTGCTGAGTTTCTTGGCCATCAACACGAGAGATGGTTATCTGAGAGCCACAGATAATCAACAAGTCATAGCAAGAAATAATTTCTTCAACGATCTTCTCATGGGAGAATCCAAGTATGACAGACCTAGCAGACAAATATACAAGACATTTGTATAATGATTTTGCCACATTGATATTAATTTAAGCGATATAATGATGCACAATTTAACTATTCTTCTTCTTCGCGTTGACCAGCTGTAAACTCTGGCAGAAGGTTCTGGTTGTTAGTCCACTTTTGGACTGCAGTCTTATTCCAGAACCTGGGTGTTGCGTATGCATCTGTTTGACAAATCTGACTCATCTGTATGCAGACTGTTGGTTCCTTGCCTCTCAGGCAGATGCACTCAGACTTTGAAGGAAGCTCCCAATTAGTCGACTCTTACGACATGCTTTTGGGTAGGCAGTGGGTCTATTCTTGTTTCTCTATAATAGGGCCCCGGAACACACACAGGGACTTTTAACTATTCTTTCAAACAAACAAAAAATTAATAAACCGCATACTACCGACTGGATTATAATACTGGCATTCAAAATGTTTGTAATGCCACCTAGCCATACTCTGGATTTAATTAAAAACAAAACTTTAAAAAAAAAAGTATCCAGGCTGACCGACCCTTGGTACTATGGATATCGCAACCCTCCGGCCTTGATTCCATGATAGATACCGTAAATCTAGGAGAAATGTAGCTTTTCTGCCTACCCCTGGACCACAAGGAGCTCATTACCCGGCCACCGCGCAAATGGTTTTAACCAACTGAGCTAGAGAGCCGGGCGACTAGTTTAATAAACCGCTCATTCACAACAACTAACTTTTAAACTGTTGGTCTTCTTCTTCTAGTTACCGCATCAAAGAGTTGGAAAAGATGTAAGGATTTCTGTGTGCTCATTATAATGCATCATTGTATAAATTATCTTAATTTATTTAAGGCTGTTCTTAAAGCCGTCTTCTGATCTTGCACATAACCTTCCCCTTTCCCCGTGCTCATATTTCTTCACCGTTAACTTCCCGGCGCAGTTGGCATCTCGTCTTCTCAGGAATGGCCAACTTATCTCAACTGTCGCTCTTTAAGGAACTGTATGACTGATTACATCCTAATCTTCATAGAATTTGCTCAGTTTAAATTGATCTCTTCTAAACACTCTGGCAGCTCTCCAAAGACATATTCCCGTCGTTATGATTTGCACTGATTAGTTGTATGTAGCAAGGGTCCATGTTTGACACTGGTAACATATGTAACACAAATTTAATTAAAATATAATCTGACATAAAATTTTAAATAAGAAATATAACACAGCTACACATATTTCTAAAGTAACAAACCTCTTTCTACACCTTCAGGTGTACTGGGCATATAGGGCTAGACACATATTTCTAAAGTTTCAAACCTCTTTCTACACCTTCAGGTGTACTGGGCATATAGGGCTAGACACATTTTTTATAGACCAATCGACATTTGGTGGGTGATGTAGTCAGCATCACCCTGGACGCTTTCACTTTCCAGAACTTTACCTGGTATTCATTTTAGGGTGGAACAACCGGGGAGCCTAGGTTATTTTTGAAAAAAAGTCTGGCCCCCGTCAGGACTTGAACTCACAACCTTCCGATCCGCAGGCGAGTGTCAGTCGCTCCACCATGGTGGCTTCCTGTTTCTTAAGTAAAAACCATTAAATCAAAAACCAATGGATAAAAGCCCCGTGTAGAACGAAGCTTTAGATCAAGACCTACCGGAATAAGTGAACAGCAAACTTCGACAGTGGTACCAAGAAATGACTGTTCAGAAGCAATGGCAATCTACTGAATGTAAAGTTTGCCTAGAAAAACCACAACAGCCTAAAAATGCTGCGGTTGGGTCTGCAACGTGCTGTACAGGATATGCAACTAACTTTTTTTAACACTGTTTATCAACACACAAAGGATGATGAGGTGAACATAACACTGGCTGCTTTTCATCCCCAGGATATTTCCTGGTGTTCATTTTAAACTGGGTGGACCTGGGAGCTCTACATCAATTATAAAATCTGGGATGATTTAGATTCAAAAACTTGGGCTGCTGGCAAGCACCTATTCACTGTGACATCACAGCTGATAAGAGTTTTTTTTTCTGCGTTTGCTAGTAACAGAGCAGATGGCAAACTGTGTTGTGGTTTACAGGTGGGCTGCAACATCTGTGCCTTAATGCCCAACCCATTTAATTTCAGCAAACCCCTGATAAATCATAATTTTGTTTAATGACATGCATGTTAGGGGCAGTCGGTCTATACCCCCCCCCCCTTTCCTCCTCTCAACAAAGCCCCTAAACCCACAAGGTTTATTAAGAATATAGAATAAACTCTCACAGTAAGACAATGCACACTCACCTTTCACCTAGCGGCCCTTGAACTGTACAAACATTAATGGTCTCTGGGAACAGGAGATGAATGAAGTCCTTGCTGACATCTTTAGGCACCCCCCTTAGGCACAGTTTAGCTCGGATTTTTCCATCAGTCACTAAAGTGGAGCTTTCCAATTGTATGTCTTGCTCATACATAAACAACAGTGTGGCTGGATCGAAAATAAGGAGTTCATAAAGTATGTTATGCAAAGTGCTGTTGCCACAACAGTTTTAACTATTGATGTTTAGGAATTATGCAGTTCCCATACTCAAACAGAAGTCCGGGCACCCGTGACATTAGTGTTAGAATGCTCATGTGACCTTTTCTTCTTTTTAGAGTTCATCGGCTTTAAACTCTGCAGAAAGTTCTGGTTGTTCACCCACTTCTGGACTTAAGCCTTGTTGAAGAAGAAATGGAATTTTGAAGGTGTGCCTCTGATTTAGCTATCAGGGCCACACCGTCTGCACATGCCAGCTCTGATATACAGATTGGTCTCATCTTCTTCTTACAGGTCTTGATGACATCAACCATCATAAGAATGAAGAGGTAAGGTGAGAGAATATCACCTTGTCTAATACTGCTAGTGGTCTCGAATTCTTCTGACCTTTGGTCTGCTGTTCTTACACAATTTCTGCTGGTTTTGTAGAAACTCTGTATTGCACTAATTAGGGGTGCTAGGATGTTTTTTCCTGACAAGCAGTCCCAGAACTTGTTCCAGGGTACCTTATTAAATGCCTTTTCTAGATCCAAAAAACATAGGTGCATCTCACTCTTATACTCAAGAGCTTTTTCTCAGTATTAATATAAGGTCTTGAGTACTTCAGTTTGCTCTGAAGCCACACTAGGCCTGATCCAGCTGTGGCTCTGCCAGACTTTTCCATGGTCATCCCAGACCTTTTTACACCTCTCTCCAAGGACATCCCAGACATATCTACACCTCTCTCCAAGGACATCCCAGACCTTCCTACATTTCTCCATGGACATCCCAGACCTATCTACACCTCTCTCCATAGACATCTTGTAGATAGGATTGACATTCTTTTGAAAGTCGGAATGAACATTTCTAAGAGGCATGAAAAAAAAAAATTCTGCCCCCCCCCCCCCCAAAAAAAAACCCCAGATCTGTAAGATGGATATGCATGCAATACTCAAGTCATGGAACAAGACTAAAGCCTAGAAGTGTATGAACCACCAAGATTTCTGCAAAGATTAAGATGTGATTAAAGAAATAGCTCCTTCACTGTAGAATGTAGCTAAACTGTAAAATATTTTGTTAAGAAACTTTTTACACTTCTCCAAGTGGTTTGATAAAAATAATCATACAAGAAACATTACCTTTCCAGACACTGACAGTTCTCCCAAATCCACATCTGTACACAACAGACATGACCATGTAACGATTTCCCAGTTCTAGCTTTTTCAAGTGGCCGATCAATGATGTCATACGGTCATGACTGGCAAGAGTGGCCTTCTGGATGCTGCAACAGTCAAGGTTAAATATCACATAAACATACAGTACATATACAAGCCAAGATCTCAAACGCAATAACATTTTAAGCATAAGCTGTTAAGCTAGGAATTACACTGAACTAAGGCATATTTCTAAATAAGTGTTTCAGAGGTGGCTAAGCATTTTCAGCAGCTGTAAAGGCATATGTCACTTAGGGATTGCAAATATGGTTTGCAATTCTGAGAGATCAGTTTGGTTCAAGCTGCAGGTGATGTGGCAGCAGACAGCTTTGTGTCAACTACCACAAGGGTATCCAGAGCTGACCATTCTGAGAGCAGAGGCAAACTAGTGAATGTAATAAAATATTTAAAAAAAAAACAAAAAAAAACAGCCATTAAATGCAGAGGTTGGTTTGCAAGTCCTCTGTAGCAGTGTTCCTCAACCTTTTCACTCCAGCGGACCATCAAAACAGTGGAAAGTGGATTGCTTCTCTGTCTATTGGCTAAGATCAAAGTGTGGTTCTGCTGCATTGGTCTGGCCAAAGGGACTGGGATCGAACACAAACAAGGTCACCGGTGAAACCCAAGAGCCACCTAAGGAAAAAAACCCACGCTAGGTAGTTTCCCCATTCAGCCTCGATTTCTGACATAATATCCTTCGGATAGCCGGGTAGCCAGGCTGGGCATTTCGGAGACTGAGCTAGTTTAAAAAAAAAAAAAAGTTTAAATTGTTCTATGGCCCATGTGAGAGCTAACTAAACATAGAAACAAAAAACAAATATGAGCAGCAGTTTTTTTTCTCTAAACATATACGCACTTACTTTAAAAAAAAAAAAGGCATTTCAAGTATAATCAACTTCTTTGAATCAAATGTAATAATTATATGGTTTCACTTCTCCACTGAGACCATCACACAGAGCAGAAACCCCGTAACTTCAGGAACAACTATCACACAGAGCAGAAACCCTGTAACTTCAGGAACAACTATCACACAGAGCAGAAACCCTGTAACTTCAGGAACAACTATCACACAGAGCAGAAACCCTGTAACTTCAGGAACAACTATCACACAGAGCAGAAACCCTGTAACTTCAGGAACAACTATCACACAGAGCAGAAACCCCGTAACTTCAGGAACAACTATCACACAGAGCAGAAACCCTGTAACTTCAGGAACAACTATCACACAGAGCAGAAACCCTGTAACTTCAGGAACAACTATCACACAGAGCAGAAACCCTGTAACTTCAGGAACAACTATCACACAGAGCAGAAACCCTGTAACTTCAGGAACAACTATCACACAGAGCAGAAACCCTGTAACTTCAGGAACAACTATCACACAGAGCAGAAACTCTGTAACTTCAGGAACAACTATCACACAGAGCAGAAACCCTGTAACTTTAGGAACAACTATCACACAGAGCAGAAACCCTGTAACTTCAGGAACAACTATCACACAGAGCAGAAACCCTGTAACTTCAGGAACAACTATCACACAGAGCAGAAACCCTGTAACTTCAGGAACAACTATCACACAGAGCAGAAACCCTGTAACTTCAGGAACAACTATCACACAGAGCAGAAACCCTGTAACTTCAGGAACAACTATCACACAGAGCAGAAACCCTGTAACTTCAGGAACAACCGTTAGGGATCTCCAAAACCTGCATATATGAACGGAAGGACAGAGCTCCAAATTCAGCCCAAAACCTTTACAGAATGAGGCACATGCTCAGCTATTTTACTATGGAGACCCCTTGCAGGTTTGCTTCTTCCATAGTTTAGCATTTTTTGGTGTTACTTTTCCTTTGGCGTAAACAAGGCAGGATGAGAGAGGGATTATACTGCATGTGCATCACATCATCTCTATAATACTTCTTCCCCTTCTCCAGTTACTTTATCAAAGTGTTGGGGAGATGTAAGGATCTTCTGTGTGTTATTATTTCCCATGCACTGTATAAGCTAGTCTTCATTTCCTTAAGGATGTTCTTAATGCCATTGTTCCTCACAGCAACAACACTGCCAGGGTAACACCTTTATCTTAGGTTAAACACAAAGTATTGTACAATGTTACATTACATTTACCCTTGGGTGTGTTTATCAAACACCAGACTGAACTCCTCCATGCCTGTCATCGTGAACCTAAACTTGGGGCAGTCCATGTCAGATAATGTAACTGGGCCCATACTAAAAGAGTATGCATTGTCTGTGAACAAGCAAAACACACAAAAAAAAAAATTTAGGTATTGAATATCAAAAATAAATCAGCGAAAAACTGACGACAACACAACTATAATGTCATTGCACTGAATAAAGTAAAGTACCCTTTTCTATGCCTTTGGGGGTAGTGGGTATATAAGGCTAGACATATATTTCATAGACCAAATGGCACTTGGTTGGTGATGTGGTCAGCATCGAGCCGGCCCCCTTTACTTCCCAGGACTGTACCCGTTACCCACTCAAGACGGGGTCGACCTGGGAGCCAAGGTCATTTTTGGAGAGAAAAAAAAAAAAGGCGGCCCCCCGTCAGGAACCTAACCTGTGACCTTCCTATCGGCCGGCGAGCGTCCAGTCACTAGACCATGGTGGCTTCCAAAGGAATAAAGGCAGACTTTGAAAAAAAAAAAACATGAAAAAGTTTATTAGAAAGTGAAAAGAAAAGGATGGGGGATAACATGAAGGGTCAGCTATATGCAACAGGACCTGGCTGGTTGAAGGACTTTGCTCTACTGGGGGATGAAGAGCGGAAGACGACAATTAAATCACTGCAACAAAAGTAAATTAATTTCACTGAAAGTAAACTTGCTTTTCTCAAAATTTTCTATATTTATTCGAAATATCAAAGAAATGTTTACTCTTTGCTCTATGACTGTATGAATCATTTCTAGTGCATATCTAAATTAAAGTCACCTCTTTTGTGTAATATTTTGATGGACTACCTCAACTTATCATAACTGTTGGTAATTATGACAAGTGAGAGAAAGATCACTTATAATTAGAAAGACTGAGGGTGTTAGTGATCAATAATCAATATTTGATTTTGTTGGCAGACTGGGATAAATGCTTATTCAGATGGTGCACTAATCAGGAGCACAGAACACTGATGGTGACTAAAGAATCTAGCCACAATTCATTAATTCAACCAAGTTTCTTCAAGGGACAAACTATTTTATATGATTATCTTTACGGTTCCAGGCCTCAGTGTGGAAAGACCAATATTACAACATACAAGTGGCAATTGCTAGTGCTTTGAGGAACTGAATTCAGGCTGAGGTCTGCCAGCTGAATAGCTATGGCCTATAAATGAGTAAAACTTGCCAACACTTAATAACTTATCACAGACACAACACGAGCTATAGTTTTCAATTATAAGAATTTAAAAAAACACCAATCATTTCATGGTTATTACTGAGTGCACAGAACTGAGCAAACAACTACCTTCAGATGTCTAAGACAACATACTATTATCTGAGCATATTCAAGATAGGAGCTACCGATTAATGTAACTGAAGAATTTATAAAATGACTCTCCAGGTGAACTCTTTACCCCATTCGGAAAGGGGGGGGGGGGGGCGTGTGCCCCTGACACTAACAAGCATGTCGTAAAAGGGAAGTAATTAGCCTTTAGGGGGGGGGGGGGTGCCCCTGCCACTAACAAGCATGTCGTAAAAGGGAAGTAATTAGCCTTTAAGTTGTAAATGCATAAGACAGAAAAAAAAAGAGCTTAAAAAATAAGGAAAACAGAAAATACTTTGACTTATATCAACTCCGTTCGAGGATAAACTAAAGGAAGATACCAATAATCTCAGATCATCATCTCTTCTTAAATATTATTCAGAAGATGATGGGGATACAATGCAATCAATGACCCTTTGCAATTACTTTGAACTCTACTGTACTATCTTCAATATCCCCCTTGTGGGATGCAATTTGTTGTTGTTATTTTGAAGTCCCACCCTGGCTGTTGCTAGGGGCTGCAATATAACCTAACGGCTGAACACAATTTCCAGGACCTCTCCACTGGTGTTTCTTATCGGCACGGTAGCACTTTGTGTCACTGGGTATCTATGGCTCTGTGTGAAGTCTGCGCATACTTATTAAAAAAAAAAAATCACACCAGTAAATCTGTCTTCACTACCTGTTATCACTTTTTATAGCGGTGTCGACAGGTGGGTTTCGAGTCTGCAGATTTAGGGCTACATGTCTAGTCCAGTCAACAAAAACTATGCAGGTTAGGATTTTAATTTTTGCCCCAGACTTAAAAACTGTCCATCAGCTTCATTTAGATTCAAAATCTAGATCTCCCAAATGACAGCCAGCATTTCAACTGCTTGGCAAGCGGTCCTCAAAACACAGCAGTTATAAGATTTTAAAAAATGTCAATATAAAATTGCTTACCCAACTGTGGTGGCTGCAAAGAAGTTACTGCCAAAAATATTTTCTCTGGAATACTGGATGGAAGCTGTTTTTTGAACTTGGCCAGCAATCTTGATTCGACTACCTTCTTTACAGAGAATCTCTCCAGTGGTTCTGGCACAGACCTCACTGGATTAATGTTACACTGAACGATTTTCCCTTTTAACTGCCTTGGCTCCGTTTGACACATGGTGCTTACTAATTCATACCTCTTTTTATGCTCAACTGAATCCCTTGAGGAAACTGCCCTATCTCTGCTTTCCTGTTGTCCATTTTTGGACGACTGTGACAGATTTCTATTATGAGCTATATTTCTACCATGAAAAATGTCAGATTCCTTAGCTTGTGGCTTTTTCACGTCTTTCCTTGCATCATCTGGAACTTCATTTTCGGTTCTAGAATTTATTTCTTCACCATCTTTTGCTTCATTCATGGCTTTGAGCCGTTTATTTGCAGTGCCTTCAGGACTTTCATCATCATCATCATTTGCTGGTCGCTTCTGTGACGACGTACTTTTTTGATTTGGTTTTACCTCAGGCTTTTCAGCTGTTTTGGGGTCAACATCTGGTGTAGTCATTTCCTCTGCACTGCCAGTCTTAACAGGGGTTACACCGGATTTCTTTCTCTTCTTGGAAGGTTCCAGATCATCGTCACTGATTTCTTCCAAAGACAAATTAGCATCAGCATGATTAGACAGGCTAGTGTCAGACACATCATCATTGTCCTTGTCCTCTGCAGTGATCTTCAGAAAATCATTTTCTGTTGCAAAGAACACTTCTTCAAGAGATTCTGCTTCTTTATAACGAGGTTTTTTACTTTCTTCTTTAACACTACTGGTTTTTGCAGCTTTCTTCGGCTCAAAAGACTCCCCGGTAATTTCAACATCTGAAATTGGCTCAGCAATGAGTTCCTCCTGATCTTGGTCAATAGAGCCCTCTGATATTTCTTCAAATTTGCTGTTGTCAATCTCTTCATCTTTCTGCAAATCAGACTCCATTAGACCTGTAGGCACATCATCATTTTCATCCAATTCTATAGGATTTTCACTACTCTTACCCAATTCAATTATTTTCTGCAGTTCACTTCTCGCAGGGGTGACGATCACCTTGCTGCTGATAATTTCTAAAACATCCATAGACTGTTGGTCTTCAGATGCCTCTTCGTCAATGTATTGTACTTCCTCTATTTCTTTCTGATCACCTTCAACCTCTTTATCTGCAAAACATACGTCTGTATCCACAACTTCGTTATCATCAAAAGGTAAACATAGCCCTTCTCCTTGTTGTTCCTCCATTTCTTTCTGATCCTCCTCAATCTCTGTATCCGCAAAACATACCTCTGTATCTGCAACTTCTTTATCACCAAATGTTATACATGGCACATTGTTTTGGTGTTTGGATGACGGAATGTCTTCTTCTACACTATTCTTAACAGTATCCTCTTCCAACTCTTCCTGTTCACTTTCCTTTCCTGGTTGGTCAACTTTTTTTTCAGTTTCAAGCTGTGTTTCATCAGTAATCTCTTCACTTTCATCTGGAACTTCCACATTTGATGCGCCCCCATTCTCTCTTTCCTCCACTTTGTTATTCTTTGTATCAGATACCAAAATACATTCTATTCCTGAGTCTTTTATGTCATCTAATGCTGTATTTTCCGATTTATTGTCTTCATCATTATTACTGTTGCTTAATTCTGTCTCTGCGGCTTCATCAACATCTAGAGCTTCTTCACTCCCCCTTTCAGAATTGATCTCACCAGCCTGGTCTTTATTTTCTTCAACCATTTTCCCTTGCAATACTGAATCTGTTACATCTTCATTTAAACTTAGAACTTCATCAACAGTGTCTTCATTTACACTTTCATCTGCAACTTCTGATTCATCAAATCCAACAGCTGTTTCAACATTGCTGTCCGTGTCTGTTTTTATCTGTGGTGCATCACTTTCCTCAGTCTCAACTCTGGTTGCTTTTTTGCCAACATTCCCACCTCCTCGTCTACCTCTAGCAGCCCTCCTTTTTGGCATAACTATAAACAGTTTAGAATGACTGTTGATAGGAGCTGATATACTATGTTTAAAAATGTCACAGATCAGTACTGGTAATCAAAATCAATGTAATTCTTCTGCTCTGAACTCTTGAGAAAATTCTGAAATGTAAAAAATATTATATATATATATATATACAGAACAATAATTCCCAGCTGAGAAGTGAAATGATCAGGACATTAACCATATGCAGATTCAAACCAAAGACAGTAAGGCTGACCACTGCGCTAATGCGACTTCTGATCAAGTAGGCACTTTATTGATATGATAAAAATGAATGAAAAAGCATAACACAATTAACTACTCTTGAGTAAAGATTATTTCATACAGGCAAATGTACTGTACCCTTTTGTTAGAGATGGTGGCTGCACCTATCTATCTATCTTTTACCCCACTAGGACATCACACAAGTGATAAACACCCGATGACACAAAGTGCCACCATGGGATGAGGATTACCCGTGGAGAGGTCCCAGAAACCGCGTTCAGCAATTAGCCCATATTTATGGTCTTGGCAGGAGCCAGAGTAGGTCTTCTAATAATGAAAAATTGCATCTAACAGGGAGATGGCTCATCTTTTTTTGGCTGCACCTTAGTTACTAGCCTTCAGGTTGCAGATTCTGCCTGGGTTGTTTCCCACAGATATGCTAACTCCTGATGGCTCTGAAAGGCATTGTCGTGTTATTTTTGCTAATGGCTAAATTAGAGTGAGAAACTGATACTGCTGTTACAGTGTGCAAGAGAATA